CGGGGAAACCCACGTGACCCTGTTTGCCAACGAGCAAGTACAAGTAAAGTGTATGTGTGTGTGTATGTGTGTGTGCGCGCGCACGCGTGCCCTCCATTCCTAGACTTGTGGAACAGAATGCGCTGAGATTCCTGCCGAGCAATATGCTTGCCGGCTCACCAAACCTGCGAACAATGTAAGGCAAAGTTGTGACTGTGATGAATGCGGATGCTGCTGTGAGTTAGGCAATGTGACTCAACATAGAGCGTGTGTGTTAGCAGAACATAGAGCATGCAAGGATGGAACAATTTGGAATATCAACATTTACAGGTTTTGTCAGCACTCAGAATTCTTTCGCAGTGGACTGGTAGGGGAAGTAGCTTTAACTAGTGAGGTTGCGACCAACCAACATATTAAGAGTCAATGTCTGTAATGACCAAATATCACCGCACATGGCCAAATTTCGGATTTCGCTCAAAGTTGCCTCCTTTTATCCCTAGGTGGACCTCACTCACCCATTATGACAGTTTGATCCAGAAATCCTCCGTTCTTTACATATTGAACAAAATCCAAAAATCGACAAAAACACTAACTGAGACTTCTTCAGACAAGATACAAGAACGAGGGTTCACTACTGCTCATAACAACACAGCGCAGCCAAACCAACTATGTTCGCACACCGATCCCAGTCACCGAGTAATGTTTAGTTAGGCCGAGTAAAAAAAATTACTAGATGATCGTCCTTTTTTTTGGAAAAATCGGGGAGGGCGGGAGGATTTTATTTTTATTTTTTTACTTTTTACCCTCTCATGCACACAGTGTACACAACAACATCAAGGTTTTTTTTCTCTTTTTTTCTTTTTTTTTCTTTTTTTCTTTTTCTTTCTTCAGCAGATCGATACTGACGTTGTGATATACTAGTAGTATGTGGTCCATATAGTAAAGAAAGTATTAAACAAAGAGCAGTTGCAGTAGAGACAGTGTAGATGATGCACACACTTGGCTCAACATTCACCTATTCAAGTTCAACGTAAGTCTCTTGTACTACTACGTAGTAGGCATTGCTAGACTATCCCAGGCAAAAGTACCGAGTGTCACGGAATTATTTCAGCACGAATTTGCAAGAGAACGAAGGGCATCGCAACGACAGCACCAGATGATTCGAAACAGAGGACAACAACTCACTCTACAGATCTGCGTCAAGCTGGAACACAGTCAAGAACTTCGACATCGCGAAGCAACTACCAACAATTTACTTTTGACAAAGTAAGTTCGTCACGGAAAACGCGTGCACATGTTTCCTGCATCCGCGATCGGTAAAAAACCAACGATTTCGGCAAAAACTCACGATTTAAAAAATAAAATATTTCTTGGGGCGCTGACAAAAACTGGGGCGGACGGGGACGATCATCTAGCTTTTTTTTTTACTTGGCCTTAGCCATCCAACTTTCAACTGGTGACTTGCTGAGTCCCTCGGATGAATCAATCAATTCAGCCTGTCTAATGGCGGCCATTACGAAGGCCATCTTCAAGGGCCAGTAGCAGCGGGGGTTAGGTCCTGAAATTGGGGGTAGACCACCACCATAGTATGCTACTTCCTCCGCGTCATTAAAATTGTCGCTTCCCAGAGCGATTTTTTCAAATCTATTTTGTCCACTCGAGGCGGAGAAATCAGCTAGAACTTGAAGTAGAGCTTTGTCAACGGACTACTTGTAAGCTTGGGTTTTAGGCCTATCGATTTGCTGCACTTGAGGTCGACGTCTCCATCATAATTTGAGGCAGACACTTCAGCACAAAAAGAGACGCTGAACAAGAAGCGCATGCAAATTCAGGTCATGAGACTTCGTTTTCAAGCAATCCATGCCTCCAGGTGGCAGGCGATGACGGCAAACTAGCATATTTGACGTGCATCGTAACGACCTTCCAGCGGGATAGGGTAAGCAGCTTGTAGTCTTGACAAATGTCCACTCGAACGATGTGGGCCGACACGAACTCCAGAAAAAAGATACGCGCTTGGGGGCGAAATAGTGCGTCGCGCGATGAATTTGGTTGGTGCGCACTTGCCAAATAGTCACTTTTTCGAAATCGCCTAAAACTCACTCCCAAACATTATGAGAGTCCAAAGAACATATTAGCTACTTGGTCCGTTTCATCGCAATTGTCGCTTATCTCCCACACACCTTTTGACAGGTAAAACACAGTCCGATCTCGATATCTAAGTCACATTCGTTTGGGAGGTTGTGATGGAAAGATCAAAGGAGAACAGAAAGAAAAAATCATCGTGACTGGCGGCAGTGGCATCGCGATTCGTACGATTTTGATGGGAGAGTGGGGAACTTTTCGCTGCAGTGAATGCACTGCACTGCAGTCTGCAGTGAATGCACACATTCACTGCAGCGAAAAGCCAAGCGCAGCTCAAAGACCGGAACTGTAGCAGGGGAAATCGACATCCTGACCTGGAGAGCGTGACAGTCACGGCCAGGCCAGCCAGCTTAGTCGCCACGTTTGAACAGCAACGGCCTGGCATTCTTTGCAAGCCTGCAAACTGATGGGAGATGGTGGCAAAGAAGACATTGTCCGACCTGGCAGTGGCAGTACAAGAGTCGTGGTCAGCGTGTCCAGCAGAGCGTATGACAGCTGTCTGGAGAGGGATGTGTGCCTGATTCAAAAACATTCTTGAAACACAGAGTAGATCTACTGTAGTGACACACGGGTCACGCTGCCCACGTTCCTCCAAGTGCCAAAGGGACAGCCACGACTGTTCCTTTCTCATCGCTGCCATACGCCAAGCGGAAACAGCAAGAGATACTCTACGCCAGCAGCTATACAGACCAGCGAATGTCAGCTCAAGTGACATCAGCTCGAGTGATACAGAGCCAGAGTCGGATAAACTAGAGCGTGAGTGCAAGAACGCGCTCCGTCGCTGTTTTCTTTAGTACATTTTTTGCAACCTTTATTTCCTTTCTTCGACTTGCTTCACCAGATTCCATCGCCGAATTTTTTTCTTTCGGCCGGACAGGAATCCTGTATCATGCTTCTTCACTATGCGTATTGGAAATTTTACAGAGCGGTAAAAAAACTCCTGTTCTTAGTTGCGATGGATAAGCGACAATTGCGATGAAACGGACCAAGTATATCCTTAAACGTTAGTGCCTCTGCGTAGAAAATTTCAGATTTTCTACCTCAATTATTGGCCATATAGTGAATAGTCCACGGCACCTGCTACCAAATATTGGTCAAAGTCTGACAAAAAGTGAGTTTGGAGCAAAAGTGTCCCGAACTACCTTCAAAAACTGCCTTATAGGCTATTCAGACTACGGCCAACTGTGACCACGTTTACTACTACGACTACTAAGACGTATTTGATCAGCGATTGTACATGACTATTTAAAACACGACTGCATCACCATGGAAATTTAAGTTCGGACGTGATTTTGGCCGTAGCCTGAATCGCCTATACCCCCCCCCCCCCCACACACACACAACCACAACCTCACACGAACAAAAATTCTCTCCCGTTCTTTTCTTCCAGTGATATCAACGATAATCCAATTCAGGTCGTCGACGCCAATTTGTTTTCGTCTTCTCCTCTTCTGACTCGAATGTAAGTTTCCCCTTGCAGGGAAGAAAACACTATGCATGCAGTTGTGGCTTGAATTTGGCAGATCATATTTTATTTGGCAGATCATATTATTTTTAGTCTAGATGGTGAAGAGGGCCGTGGAGAGTAGTTCATAGGCTAACATTCCATACTTTGCAGCCTTAATAATATTTGCTAATACTGTAAAGCGTGAAATTCTCGCGGCGTTTTTAGTTCGCATTTTCAGAATCCGGACATGTTTGCGAGGTTTTAATTTTGCGATTGCAGAATGGCATTCTTGCTAAACCTTTCATGGATCTCCTTTTCGCGCTGTCTAAATTTCGCGATTTCCACGCGGTCGCGAATTTCGCAGAAATTAGACCATGGCAATAATTTCACGGTTAACAGTAGTCTGACTACAGACAGCGTCATGTATGTTGCAAGTGTATGGGAAGAGCTCAGGTAATGTGAAAGACTCTTCTCACTTCGCTTTTGCCACAAGTACACTGCTGATCCAGCTACAAACAAACCGAAATATTATGCCCTCCGTAATCATGACCTGGATTCCTTCCCACTACTGTAGTGTAGGGGCAGGGGCAGGGGCAGGGGCAGGGGCAGGGGCATCGGAAGGTATTTTAGTGTGGTGCGGTCAGCCAACTGAAGTACAATTTACTCGCGGGGAGGGATGGCTGAGCCGAAAAGTTTGGAAATTTAGATCCCAAATCAGTGCATTTTATTGATTCACGGGGTACTTGGGGCAAATAGTGGTACGGTCAATCCCGTAGTGACCGTACCGTGTGCGACGCCCCTGAGTGGACATCGGTTGCAGATATCCAGAGATTATCGTGGAATACAGTGTGTTCTTACTCGAACATGCCTCCGGATAGCACACGACTCGTTGTTTTAGAAGACTGTATTATAAATGTTTTACTCTGACTCTGATCGAAATCATCTCGCAGTACAAAGGCAAGTTCTGCCTCTCTCGAAGCAGAAGCGGAGATTCAAAAACATTCAAATCAAAAGATCGCGCGAAAGCAGTGTACGCGACTACGCGCATCAGACGTGAATACAACATGAGAAGTGAAAGCAGTGTACGCGACTACGCGCATCAGACGTGAATACAACATGAAGAATGAAAGCAGTGTACGCGACTACGCGCATCAGACGTCAGCTGACGTGAATACAACATGAGGAACGAATGCGTAGTAGTATGATAATGCACAACAGTACAACAAGCAGTACTGATAGACACATAAAACGGAGTGGCTCTGCACCATTATCAGTGGGCTGGATATAGACTGTACATATCCCCCTTCCTGCTCGAATGGCATGGTGGAAGGAGAATGATCAATGAGAGCAGAACTAAGATTAGAGAGATCATTGATGTAAACAGGAGAAAGAGAGAGAGAGAGAGAGGGAGAGAGAGAGAGAGAGAGAGAGTTTACTTGGCAGGCACCTCCGGCTCTACCTCAAGTGGAACCAGCAAGTTGGTCGGACGCCGATACGTTTTGCCTTTGACGAGGATGTCCACCACACGCACGAGACCGTCTGCTCCGGGGAAAACGTCCACCACTTTGCCGAGAGGCCACATTCCACGGGGCGTGTCCTGTGCCATGTACAATACCATGTCGCCAACCGTTATGTTGCGACTGCGCGTTCTCCAACGTTGTCGGATATTAAGTGTGGGCACAAATTCCTTCAGCCAGCGTTGCCAGATGTGGTCCACAGCAACCTGCACAGCTTTCCACCGTCTCTGCGGGTGTGCTGGTGTCATAGAAGCTTGTGCCGCTTCTATGGCCGTTTCCACCTGAATGTGGCCAATGAGGAACTGCTGAGGTGTCAACGGGGCGAGATCATCAGCATCTGATCCAACTGTAGTCAGTGGCCGGCTGTTTAACAGGGCCTCTGCCTGAACAAAGGCAGTTTGCAGTTCTTCATCAGTGAAGTTAGCAGAATGCAGTATAGCAAACACTGCTCGCTTGGCTGACCGGACAAGCGCTTCGAAGAAGCCGCCATGGTGTGGTGCCCGGGGCGGGTTGAACGTCCACGACGTGTGCTGTGTCGCTGTACGGGTGACCACTTGACCTCGGTCAATAGCTTGAAGGGCATCACGCAGCTCACGTTCTGCACCCACAAAGTTTCTGCCGTTGTCTGACACTACCAGACGTGGTGCTCCGCGGCGCTTACAAAATCGGTCAAAACACATCAGGAAGCCTTCAGTGGAGAGGTCATAGGCCATCTCTAAATGGCATGCTCGTGTCTCCTGACATGTGAAGAGGCAGAGATAGCGCTTCAATTGTGAGCGTCCACGACCTTGACGGGTTAGGAATGGGCCTGCGAAGTCCACTCCAACATGCTGGAAGGCCTGCTTCGTCATAGCAACTCGAGCGGCAGGAAGTTGGCCCATGAGCTGGTCTGCAGGCTTCCTCCAGTGCCGAATGCAGCCATTACATCGTAGGCGATGCGATTTGATCGCTTGTTTGCCTTTGATCAGCCAATACGAAGTTGTCAGGTTGGCCCACAGATGATTCGTGCCGACGGCATGGTGGGTTTTGCGATCCTCATTGGCAATGATGAGGTCAGATACTGGATGCCGATACGGCAGTATCAGTGGCTGCCTCGTACCTTCCGACATTGCTGATGCCTGCTCCAGCCTGCCTCCAACGCGTAGTACAAATGGCCGTTCAGCGGTGTCTAGGACTGGATTGAGCCGGAGCAAAGGGTCTGAGGGCTTAACACTTTTCTCCCGCTGTAAGGTCGAAATAGTGGCCGAGTAACACTCCTGCTGGGCAACGCTGATCCAGTGCCGTTCTGCTCGCTGTATTTCAGTTGCCGACAGTTCGGGAACTGCTACATTCTCTGCCGACGACACAGCTACACGAGAGACCGCATCACTGCCTTCAGGTTCTTCCCCCTTCTTGGCACCTCGGCAGTTTGAGGAGAACCGGATTATCCAAGCCGTGACACGCTTCAGTCGGTTCCAGGATGAAAAGTTCTCGGGACGCAGTCTAGATGCCGTGGCTTCGGCGACAAACGTCAACGCTTGGTGTCGCTTAGTTTCTCCTAGAAGCTTGCTTGGGACGGTGATATCGCGTTGCGGCCACTCGGTCGATGGCTTGGACAGAAACTCTGGTCCTGTCCACCATGTGCTGCTCGTTGCTAGTGAGGTGGCTGGCATTCCTCGTGTGGGTAGGTCTGCCGGGTTGATCTTACCGGGCACATGTTGCCATTGCAGGGGCGATGTGGCACGTTGAATCTCCGAGATTTTTACACCGATATCTGTGCTGAATCGTCGGCTGTGGGATCTCAGCCAGTACAACACATTGAGGCTGTCCGTCCAGAAACGATGCTCCGTCAATGGTATCTTCAGCGCTGCTTCCAGCTCTTTACTTAGCTGTACTCCAAGGACTGCTCCTTTCAGCTCGAGCTTCGGGATACTTAGCTTCTTGATAGGAGTTGGCCGTGACTTAGCGAATGCCAGTGTCACCTTCACGCGTCCGTCTGGATATTCAGTACGGACGCAGCAGGCTGCTGCTGTAGCTGCATCCGATGCATCGACGAACGTGTGAACTTCCGTCTTCACGCAGGTTGGATCCGCATCGGTGTACTTGAAACATCGGTCAGCGTGGATCTGTGCCAGGTCGGGTAACTCTGATAGCCAGCGCTTCCAACGAGCCGTGTCGTCGTCATTCAGCGGCTCGTCCCAACCATATCCAGCGACACATGCCTCCTGAAACAGTACTCGTGCACGCATCGTGAACGGTGTGAGCTGACCTCTTGGATCGAAGATCATTGCCATCTGTCGTAGAACGTATCGCTTGGTTAATTGCTGGGACGCCTCTGGTGCCTTATATCGGAAGGTAAATACGTCCTTGTCAGCAAGCCACATGACGCCCAGGGTCTTAGACGACGGTAGAGTGCAGTGCTGGTTACTGTTGACATCCAGGGACACCTGCGGGGCTCTGTCGGCTTCTGGCACGGACTCAATCACCTCGGTAGAGTTGCTTAGCCACTTGCGAAGCTTGAAACCACCAGACTGTAGTAGCTGTGTCAGTTGTTGCTGGGCATCTATTGCCACAGAAGCTGACTGGAAGGAGTCCAGAAGATCGTCAACATAGAAGCTCTCCTCGACCACTTGGACAAGGTCGTTGCTGCGCATCGAGTCGGTCGCGAAATCTTGTGCTGTTTGCAGTAGAGCCTTGCCGGCGAGATAGGGCGATGCTCTTAGGCCGAAGACCAACCGGTTAAACTCATACACTTGCATATCATCGTCTGGGCTGGCACGCCACAGAAACCGAGTGAATCGCCGATCTTCTTCTTTGAGCCCTACTTGCATAAACATCTCACTGATGTCGGCAACGAGAGCTACTGGTTCAGCAGAGAACCGCAACAGGATGCGAACGATGTCGTTCTGTAGGCGTGGTCCCGTGTGCATTTCTGCGTTGATGCTGCGACCTTTCCAGACGGCAGCGGCGTCAAACACAACACGAACCTTGCTGGTGCTCTTGTCCTCCCGGACGATTGGGAAGTGTGGCAGGTACCACTGGTGCTGGCAGTCTGCTGCGGCGATGGCTTCAGGCACAATCCGGATGTACCCTTTCTCCAGATGTGCTGCAAGGACGCGGTGATATTCTGCCTGGATCGCTGGCTTGGCTGACAGGGTCTTTTCTAGACCTCTCAAGCGCTGTTCAGCTTGAGCGCGGTTTGATGTGATGTTCGGACCAGTTGGGCGGATCCAGGGAAGACCGATTTCGTACCGCTGCCCATCATGGCGCATGGTAGCCGTGGCCAGTTCCTCCGCTTCACGTTCTGCTGGTGTGCGGTATCGCTGGTCAGCGTTCACAACACCAATGGACTCAGTATCCCATAGGTTGAGGACAAGCTCATCCAGACGCGGTTCTGTGCCAGAGGAGGTCATCTCTGATCGTACAGCGGCAGTGGCACAGTTCGTGATGATAGGCTGGGACCTCTCGGTGCTTGTACCTGTGGGGCCATAGCAAACCCAACCGAGCGGGGTCCGACGGGCAATCGGCGCATCATCGGGGCCACGTCGCTCTTCCAGCGCTGTGTGGAGTGGCGCAGCATCCACGCCAATCAGCAGACCAATGTCGCCGGTGTCCATAGTTGGGAATGGTATGTCGTGCAGATGCGTCCAGGCATCTTGGTGTTGACTCCAGTCGACGGCCACTGTGTCGGCTGTGACACATGGCAGAACCCAAGCGCTGATCTGGTGGGTCAAGCTGCTGTCTGTACTTTGAATGGTCACCGGTGCGCGTCGGCGCATGGCCTCCATCTGGCTGCCACCAAGTGTGGTCACTTGGAGCGGTTCCGGATCTCCAGTCAAGCCGATAGCTTCAGCCACTGCGGCTTTGATATATGTGCTGGTGGATGCAGGATCAAGTAGTGCTCTGCATACGGTTTCTTGACTCCCGTTGCGAACTGTGACCGGGACTGTCATGAATGATATGGCAGGGAGAGACGTTCGTCGTGGTTGCGAGCGGCACACATGCAGAACTTGCTCCTTGACAGGTACCTTGCCCTGACTGTTACTGCTATTAGACTGCTTCTGCTGAAGCTTGTTGCTGCTGAACTTGTCGAAATGCAGCAGTGCATGGTGCTTGCCGTTGCACTTTGCGCAGGTGGACCCGCTACAGGACATGCTACGGTGGCCAGGTCGCAAGCAGCAAATACAGAGAGGTGTGGGTTTCACTAAATCCCAGCGTTCTCGTACCGACATTGCTGTGAAGGCGGGGCACTGGCTCAGGAGATGATTACCGTCACACTTGAAACATGCATTGGGAGTCTCCGCTGGCTTACCCCTCGAGGCATGGAATGCATGTTGGGTTTGACCTGAGCTGGGCGCTCTGCTGCTGTGGGCGTCGTACGGCTTGCGGGTAGATGCTGTGGCGGCCTCTCTGGGAAGTGCGAGGCGCGCATCCACCTGCTGCGCTCTGTGCACCTGCTTCAGCAGCCAGGTAGACAACACCTCCGCATCACAGCTCTGGTCATCATACCGATCCAGGAATCGGGACAGCATCCGTCTTGGGAGCTTCTGAGACACTGCTATGTACAGTTCGCGTCCGGGTACGACGTTGGCCGTTTTCAGGTTAAGCAGAACGTTTCTCAGCTTCACTGCAAGTCGTTGCAAAGCTGTTGTGTCATCTTCCCGAGAGATCCGGGGACTGGCCAATAGTTCCTGCTGTTGCCGTTCCAGCTCCCGGTTGTCGCCGCCAAACCACTGGTCGAGCTCCTTCAGCACGGCACTGTATGCCCCAGGGCCGTCCAGAATACCACTGACAAGTTCTTCAGCCTTCCCACCATCCAGCGCCTCACGCAGCCGTGCCATCTTATAATCCTCCGTTGACATGAGGTCGTCGTCTACGAGACGCATGAATCGCTGGCGCCATCGAAGATAGCTCTCCTGTTGGCCATTGAATTTGGGCAGTTCCAGCGGCTTTATCTGGAACTGCGGAATACCAACATACCCAGCACTGTGTGGCACGCTGTTTACCCAGTTCTGAACGTATCGTGCAGATGCAGTGGGATCCTCTGGACCATGTGGACGGGTGGCTGGATTCTGTGCGCTCACAGACCGGTGTGGCGCATCAGAGTCAAGGTGCGTTCTACTGGCTGCACCAGCCTTTGCTGGCTTGAAGCTCCTGGCTGCAGCATTCATGATAGGTGGACGCTTGGCCTGTACACGGTGTACAGGAGGCTGTGGCGGTGGTCTGGCAGGTCTTGTCAGCTCAGACTGGGGTGCGACAGTTACTGCAGGTCGGACACAATCTCCTCTGTCAGTGTCACTGTGATTGCTCAAACTAACGTTGCTGCGTCTTTGGCTGTCAGACTCCACTTCCTGCACTGACTGCTCATCCGCAGCGTTCATATATCCAGAACTGCAGTTGGAGATCGAGAGAGCACCGCTACGATTTGAGCGCACACTTGCAGTTGAGGAGCGATGTGAGCTACGTTGGCTACTGTCGTCCGGAATACTTTCCTCATCGGAGAGCCTAGCTAGGTCCTCGGCCAACTCCAGCTCCACTAGTCTTTTGTCTTGTTCGAATTTCTTTGCCAGAAATTCCTGTTCAAGACGTAACGTCTTCGCAGCGGCCTGAATCTTCGCTTGTCGTCGTGAGGACGATGTTGCTCTGGACGTACTACTAGTACCTGACCTACTTGATTCTGCGCTTCCTACAGACCTGGCATCTGCCATTGCCGTTTTCCTGCCTGCCAACGAAGGAAATTCGAAGCCTTCTGCCTCATCCCTTGCTGGTGGAATGCCTTTTAATCTTCTGCTTTTTCGAACTCGCTGTTCGCTCTCAGCTCGCTCTGTCTCTAAGTCCGCCATCCGGCTCGAAGGACCATTATGTTCTTACTCGAACATGCCTCCGGATAGCACACGACTCGTTGTTTTAGAAGACTGTATTATAAATGTTTTACTCTGACTCTGATCGAAATCATCTCGCAGTACAAAGGCAAGTTCTGCCTCTCTCGAAGCAGAAGCGGAGATTCAAAAACATTCAAATCAAAAGATCGCGCGAAAGCAGTGTACGCGACTACGCGCATCAGACGTGAATACAACATGAGAAGTGAAAGCAGTGTACGCGACTACGCGCATCAGACGTGAATACAACATGAAGAATGAAAGCAGTGTACGCGACTACGCGCATCAGACGTCAGCTGACGTGAATACAACATGAGGAACGAATGCGTAGTAGTATGATAATGCACAACAGTACAACAAGCAGTACTGATAGACACATAAAACGGAGTGGCTCTGCACCATTATCAGTGGGCTGGATATAGACTGTACACAGTGATATTGCTTTTGGTTGTCCACTTCCCTCTATATCCGGATAATTGTTCTATTGTAATAACCACGGTCAGCAGTATCATGCGGTTATGTGATATCTGTCCGTAACACGATCATTTAGAGCAGTCCACACTGCAAGAAAGCGTCCTACTCAGTGCTTTCGACGTGCAAACTGCTCCCGTGTGGAAATGTCTCCTCTGCAGCGATATGGATGACCTCGAGATTGTCGAGATTCCTGAAGGCTTGTTTAGTGGATTGTTCAATTTGGGCAACCTGTAAGTCGTTTAAAAAATCAAGAGATTGTATTCTGTCCAAGTATGCTGTCTGTTGCTTAAGTAAGCTTTTCTCCTATTTCTCCTATTGTCTAACCAGTCTTGAATCAGTAGATGCAGCTTGTTAGGCGCTGTTAGATTTCAGTTTAGGTATCCAATAATTAATGCACTTTCGTGTCCAGGTCAGGTACGTTGAGACACGACCCACACGATTTGCTTAGGTGCACGGTAAACGTTTAAGGACACCTCTGCCGTGCGCTCAGCATAACAGGGCGAGCACGCACTGTTGGTTACTGATAGAATCAGGTGGCGAGTTTCTGGCCTTGTATGTATTTTCAGATATAGAAGATAGTTCCTTGAGTTCAGGTTGGTTGGGCCGATGGGTGTGCTATCAGAATGGTGACTTGAATTTTAGTTTTGTTGCTCTTATGTTATCCAATACACCACACCACGGCTCATTGTCAATATCAATCTATATACCGGAATTGTCCTCGCTGTGGTGATGGTGATGTGAGTGCAGAGTTTGGATCGGCCAAGAGCGCAATGTGTTGGTGTGGTGTATTGGATTCCATAGTGGCCGGGTCGTCGCTATTTCTTCTCAACTGCTCTTATGTTACTGTACTTTCCAGGGATTTTGACAAGTGCAATATTTCAGTATTGCCTGCTGGAGTGTTTGATGGTTTAGTCTCCTTGACTGTCCTGTAAGCCATAGTCTACTTAAACACTACATGTATCTGCACACCAACAGACACCAACAGACACACACACACACGCACGCACACACACACACACGCACGCACGCACACACACACACACACACACACACACACACACACACACACACACACACACACGCGCGCATCTTTGGACGTTTTGAAACACCACCTCATCTCGCTTGTTGTGTCTGTGTACCTACTCACAGCAGAGTGCAAATTCACACGTACCCTCGCACGCACATACGTAAACACACTGATCATAGATTGTACACGTCCCAAACATCTTTACATAATTTGAGAAACAACATATTTGTATGCGTTTTGTCATGCACTTATGATGTAGCCTGTTTTTTCTTCCCATTATCCATCCCTCTTAGTGCCATGGAGGTGAAAGATAGTGTAGCAAAAACTTGAGCTATAAAACAATTTTCTGCTTTTCATCACTTAGCTAGAATTAGAAGAAGAAAACACATGGGAACGAGTTATGAGGCAACCATCCACGACTGTAACAAGATAATAAGCTGTCAGAAAGTGAGATAACAGGGCACAAAACTGACAGGCTACTGAGACAGTCAATGACCTGAGACCTAGCTCTAACACATCTCCAGCGCGCAAACCAACAGGCTTCCAACTTTGAAGGTTCACGGTCGGGTAGGACCGAAGAGGGAAAGGTGAGCGCAGCGAAAATGTGCACAACCTAAGTTCCACGGCAACAAAGAAAGCCGATTGTTGCAGGACGACGACAAGACCAGTTAATAACAAGACAATGCGGTCTAACTACAATTCGACGCAGGAAAGCAACACACTACGGAAGTTGGGCGGGTCAACAATATCAGAGATAAAGGAAGGGGGAAGCTTTGCGAAAATGAATTGTACAAAACTGGACGCCAGTATCTAACCGTATTCCTCATGTATGACATTATTGCGGCCGAGTAGACTACGATAGCCAGTTGTTTCAGCTTCGTTCATTTGGCCGTATTGTTCGTGACGCATTATTACTGGCTTATTATTCGAGTTAAATTACCTGGAGTTGTACGTATTCAGTTTGTATGTGAACTCAGAGAAGATATTCTTTCTCTTTCTGCTTGATACTTTTGTTTCTACAGAGATTTCAGTGAGAATCCAATCGGTTCTCTGCGTGCGGATATTTTTAATGGCCTCGCAGGATTAAGAGCCCTGTGAGTATATGATTGGAAAATGATTTGACATGCATCCTGCCCATCGCTCATTTTAGGTTTCTGAGGTTGCTAATGACATTGAGCCTGTTGTACGCATTGTCATGCGGTCTAGTTTTAATGTCAGTCTTTGCTCACCCACTCTCGAGGCTGTTGCTTTGCTTCCCTCGTTGTTTCTCCTCGTAGCATCACCCTTCGAACCCCTTTATCATTTTATTCAAGGCTGGGGAACATTGGGTTCTAGAAATTCAACACTGCTGCGCAAAATGCTTGAACTACATCCATTGGACTTCGGATGATTGTAGGATTGGCTTCTATAGCAACCGAATGACGAAAGATCATGTGTTTTTTTTACTTCAATTGCACTTCCCCACCGGGAAATGGAAATTGGGAGAACATGAAAAGGACAATAGAGAACAATGGGAAGGTGGGTACTACAGAGTAGCTGTGTTGGTGAGTCTGGAGGAGCTCCACTGACCATTGGTCTCAGCATCAGTATGCCACATGAGCACCAGAAAAAGGGATGCATGGAAAAGAGCGGGGAAAAAACAGAAAAAGCAGAGTGCGTCATGCCTTTGGATCAGACGATGTACATATATATATATACAGAGAAAGAAAGAAGAAGAGATAATATAACCAAGATACAGGAGAGATAAGAGAAGTAGAGAAGAAACGGAAATATGTGATCGGAGGTGATCAGTAGCCCAAATCCATCAAGTTCGCTGGAGTTGTCAGTGTGCATTGATTATTGAATTATAATGTAGAGCATAACTATTATAATATTATAATGTAGAGCAGAACTATTATAATATTATAATGTAGAGCATAACTATTATATTATAATGTAGAGCATATCTATTATAATATTATAATGTAGAGCATAACTGGCAACACGAAGCAATTTCATCATGATTTGGGATGCCTTGTAGGGAGTGAAATAGCCAAGGCAGATTGGTTACATTGTGTTGTTTATCTATACCATCAAAACTAGCACAATTTTATGGTTTGCCACACGCGACAAATTAGCCATTCGAATCTCTATTCATGTACAGATTAGCACTGTTTGTCACAATCTAGCACTGGTTTTCCCTCAAATGCATTCCATGCGTAACATATGCAATAACCTCACACACATAGCCTCTAAAGGATGGGCAGCAGTGCTTGCGACTGGCGCTATGCGAGCTCAGAATTAACCATAGCATGCACGCACTTGATCACGATGTGGACTTTCTTTCATGGCTGATAACACACACCATCAAGATGTGGGCTTTCTTTCATGGCTGATAGCGCAGCTGTTTACATGTACTTCCATTAAACCTCAATAGACAGCAGACCACAGTTCTCCAATCCCTCACACATGTGTCTATACATGTCGTTCTTATGAGCTATAACAGTAGAGCAATCCACGAAGATGTTTCGATTGCATTTTGCCTTTACTCTGTATATCATCATGGAATTCATTTCTGCCCCCCTTCTCAAGGGATATTGAGGACATCGGCCTAACGACTATTGACGAGAATATCTTCTTCAATTTGACCCTACTGGATGTCCTGTAAGTCAGTGATCAAGTGTGTGTGTAATTTAAAAAAAAAGGATTCACTGGCCAGAAAAAGTCACTTCGATCAGCCGTGTGGTGTAGACCAGGCTAAAATTAGCGGCGGTCAATTCATCAGCCTTGCAAGCTGTTGAATGGTGTAATTCCAGCACAAGTTGCTATGTCCAACATAGCTGTTCGCAATCATCGCTTCCGCGATGGGCATGTCTGAGTCTCAGTCTGAGCAAGTGTGTGTGTGTGTGTGTGTGTGTGTGTGTGTGTGTCTGTGTCTGTGTGTGTGTGCGTGTGTGTGCGCGCGTGTGTGTTTGAGATAGGAACCAGGCGATTTTGATGGTTCTGCCCCGTGAGTTAGCGGCCAAATGTAAAATGCGGAAAATATAATTATCCAGACCGTGGTCAAATTATGATTCTACGGACAACCAGTAAAATGTCTCATAAAGTTGATGGTGTGGTGTTGTGCTGAGATTCATATTGTGGTGTGTGTTTCCGCTGCACAGGTCAATGGAAAACAACAGGCTGACAGAGATACCAGCCACGTTGTTTTCCAGACTGGAAGTACTGGATCAGCTGTAAGGATACCTAAAACCAATGGCCAGTCTTTTGTTTAACGGCCTAGTTCTTAATATTGACCAGCAGTAACATTTGGATTTGCCACTTTGGTCACTGGTTGATGACAAACCCAGCCAACATATTTCTATTCTCCCTGCTTTGACTTGCATAACTTGCGACAGGGAGAATTCGATACTCATTTAAAGGATTCACAAAAAGAAGCCGTGGAAAATATTGTCCGAAAGACAACGAATCCTATTTCACTCGAATTCTTGATGGGAGAATCAAGCTTGATCCTTCTGAATGGATAGACTGTATATGGATTGTATGGGTGCTATTCACTCTTATCACCTCACTCTGTTCTTTGGCTGATCCAAGCAACTACAGAAATACAGTTACCGTAGACTGAAAAGCGGGGACATATTCGTACCAGGGGGGGGGGGGGGGGCACCAATGCTCCCTTCTGTATGAATATTACATGATACGTCAACAGGGTATCTATAGGGGATACAGAAAGGTCGAAAGGCAGCTCAGACCCTACCTCCAAAATTTACAGCGAGGTTAGGAGATTCTGCGTACTGATGATGTGTGATGTGAATTATTTAGTAGCACTAGAGCACTCTGCACTGAGCACACGGCGGGTATTCAGGTAATACACACACAGCAGAGGCGAAAGGGTGTGTAGCTATAACTTTAAGTTTCACGCATTTCAGCGATCATCAGACAGCAGCATTTACTTTTCAGGTACCATATTCTTTATTGGTGTACTTCTTGATAAAGAAAACCAGGCATATTCTCTCTAGCAAACCACTGTCTTACAGCCCCACTTGCCCCACTTTGGTTGAATGCAATATTCTTAAAATACAGTTACGCAGTTCATTGAAAGTCTAAATGTGGGCTTTGTACAGCAAAGCCTGGTTAGCCCATGCAAACGCATGCTGGTGGTGGAGTGCTGCGAGTGCGTGTCACGTGACCACCTCGTGATTAAGCCGCGTGCGCCGAGTGTGGCCTGGCAAAATTTTATGGACAATCGTGGATCCGGTGTCTAATTATTTGGAGACGTGTTTTGCTGAGCTGTCTTTGTGCGAAGGAGCGTTCTTTGCAGTTGCAGTTTCTGTGTCAAGTCAAAGCTGCGACTGTGTGTCACGTGACCACCTCGTGATTAGGCCGCGTGCGCCGCGTGTGGCCTGGCAAAATTTTATGGACAATCGTGGATCCGGCGTCTAATTATTTGGAGACGTGTTTTGCTGAGCTGTCTTTGTGCGAAGGAGCGTTCTTTGCAGTTGCAGTTTCTGTGTCAAGTCAAAGTTTTTTTCCCTCCCTCCCACCCCTTTTGAAGTGGCATTTTGTTTCTCCGGTTGGGGGGGGGGGGGGGCAAACGGGCCTCCTATTATGTCTGTATGTTGTGACGCCTGATGCCAGGCAGTCGTGTGAGCCCTAGGTGGGCGATTGGCTAGCCTCGGTGGCCGTTTGTGTGCCCTCGGCGGGCAAGATGATATCGGCCCACTGTGGGCAGTTTGCTTGCCTCGGTGGCAATTAGCGCACCCTCGATGGGTTGTCTGCTGGTTTAACCCTCGACGGGCGGTTTGCTGGCCGCGGCGGCCATTTGAGCACCCTCGGTGGGCAGTATACTAGTTTACCCCTCGGCGGGTGGTTTGCTGGCCTCGGCGGCCATATGTGCGCCCTCGGTGGGCAGTATGCTAGTTTAGCCCTCGGCGGGCGGTTTGCTGGCCTCGGCGGCCATTTGCGCGCCCTCGGTGGGCAGTAGGCTAGTTTAGCCATTCGGGCACCCTCGGTGGGCAGTATGCTAGTTTCGCGCGCGCGCGCGGCGGGCCGCGGTGGCCATTTGTGCGCCCTTGGCGGGCGGATGCTAGTTTCAGGCATGCATCTTTACTCCATCAATTATTATCAAAGAGAATATTCTTGAATATTTGAATTGTCCAAAAGAAATCATGGCAACCCCCAACCCAATGTGTCTATTGTACTTGGTCCGCCCAGTTACAATTGGCGCTTATCTTCACACTTGTCTCAGGAAGGAAATACACATATTTGAAGCAAGCCACGATCACAAAGCACTATGTACATGATTATTTACGTGTCAGTAAGCAACTCAGTCGAAAATTCAAGCTAGTTACACATCCTCCTCGCCACTATCGTCGCTGGAGGAAGAGCTGAAAACGTTCGATCCGGACAGCTGCTGCACGTTTTATAGCTTGTTTCACTTCTCCTCGTCTCGAATCACGCTCTAAGGCAGTGCGTGCCTGTCACGTTGCCGATCAGAAGCTGAGTGAGACTGCCCTCAAGTTGGCTGTAAGTGTTATCCCCGTTCGTCGCAATAATGCGACTTTGTTTGAGACAAAACGGCAACGCCATATCAGTGTCCTTTTTTCAAATCGCCTCTTGCGCTTGTCGTACTTGCTGATCAGCACCCACGCGCGACCCGCTGGTGCTTGTACGTGCAGCGCAGTGATAGCTCCCGCTTGATGTAGCACCTGTGCTTACTGCACCTAAGTCCTAACGCCATGCACCAGGCTTTTCGGCTAGTTTCCTGAAAGTCCTTTGCACGAGTGTTTCACTCAGGACTTGGTGTTTATTTTGATTAGCTCCTTTGCCCTGTCCTCTGTGAGCTTCAAAGTGTGTCCGCCGGATTGGTCTCACTTTCTGGAGATGTCGACATGAGCTGCAGTTTCTTCGTCAGCGATTTGCTGGTGATAGCCCTTCACTAGGCGCTGTACTGTGCAAGCACTGAAATTCAAGCTCCTGAAGCGCTTTTTCAGCTTTTCTATACCTCCCGGGGTAAACAATCATTGCCATCAGATAGCTGGAAGTAGACAGAAACTGTATTCTCCATCGCTCTGAAATGCGAACATCCGGACCTATTTTACGGACTCGAGCGGAGGTGGCAGTGTTTTCTTGCGCTGACGGAAGTGTTCGTCGGCGGCAGCTCCGTCAAAAAGACTCAAACGAACCGATCGCAACTTCTGTGATGGTTTGTGCTGCCATGTCGTCGGATGCAAAGGTCAATGGTTATGTTCGGATGGTGAATCGGTGGTTCAATGCCGTGTGACACAGGCCGAACACCGAAAAACCAAGTGAGAAGATAAGCGCCAATTTTAACTTGGCGGACCAAGTATGTTTGTGCACGCCATAGTGAGCGGTACGTTGTGCAGGTGTTTGCGTGTCAGAGCATGGGTACACCAGTGGCGTGTGCGTGCATGTGTGCGCTTGTGTCTGTCTGCATGAGTGCACGAGTGCCCAAGCTGGGCGTGCGGGTGCACTTGGAGGTGCTTGCATGTTGACGGGTGCAGGGGCTAATTTCAAGTTTATCTCCAACGCAAGTCTGCCAATGTATTCTGATTTCTGAAGGAAGTGAATCAGAAGAGCCCGCACAGTCTATGTTGATTCCGATACCGTAATGGTTGGAGGAGTGCACTGCGCCTGACCAGCACAGCTCTTGCAGCACCTACTACTCCTTTGTTGTCTTTGTATTTGCCGTGGTCTCTTTCATTATCCCCATTATTTTGTAGGGATGTGCACGTAGTATAAAAAAAGGTTAAAAAAAAGGAGGAAGCAGAGGTAAGTACTGAAGTAGTAGGTTGCTGTGCCAGCGGGGGCAGATGAATTTCACGTTTGTGTGTTTTCTCTCATGCCTAGGTTAATCACGTTTGTTTGTTTCCTCTCATGCATATCATGCATAGGTTAATCTTTGGAAACCAACTTACCCAATTACCTGCTGGCGTCTTCAGCAACTTGACTGCCATAACCTTGTTGTAAGTACAGCACGTAGGGAACGTCACTGATTGGTCATCTCCTGGACAACGAGACAGACCTTGTTCTGAAATGATTTAAAACGGTGGGAGTAGTTGGACAATTGGAAACTTGGGCTTTTGAAAGCACTCACTAGTGAGGTATCTGCACCTTATTCCAAAGGGACCGGTTCTGTTGAGCTAATATTGCAGTGAATTGACAACTGTTGATTCTTTTTGTGTTGGGCATCTCTCATTCTGCAGTGTAAGCGATCATTTGGTTTGAATTGTCACACACCTAACAAAAAATGTAGCACCAACACATCTCCATAATGGACCATTTGGCACAAATAACAACACTGTAGTTAAATAGCAGCTTAGCTTGTGTATGTCCATTATTGTTCTGGGTCCAAATAATTCGATATCCTGAAGTTCATACCTTGCACAATGTACTCGTAATATGGTTTCTCTGTGATCTTTCAGGGACTTTGACGCTAACAACCTCACGTCCATACCGAACGGCACGTTCACTGGCTTGATCAACTTAGAACACTTGTAAGGCGCTATACAACTATTGAGTACATGTGCATATACGGAACTCTGAGTAACGGCGGAAAAGGACTTGCTTGTGTCATTGCGGTGTGATCATTGGAGTACATATACATGCATATTATGATGCTTTCTTACTAAAGTCTTAGGCAAGATGTTGGGTTAGCTTTTGGGCTAACCCTAGTTAGCGTTAAGACCGACGCGCTACTCTCTATCTCATGCTAGCTGCGACTGAGCTGGCTTTACACGTGCACTCAACTGCCGCGCATGCGCACCCACATCGTCTTGGGTAGCTCTTGCTGCGCTGACTTTCGCTTGCGCTTTCCTTTGCAGTGTCAATGAGCAGCAACCGGAATTTTTGAAAAAGAAGCGTGGTAAATAATGGTTGCATTATGAAATGATGGTGAAGCAAAAATGGCAATAAATGCATGCTTTCCCGTGTACGCTCCTAAAAGATAGTCTAGCTCTCTGCACTCACTCTGACTCATGTAACTCAATCAGTCAATTAGTCACTCACTCTATCTATGTGTGTGTGTGTGTGTGTGTGTGTGTGTGTGTGTGTGTGTGTGTGTGTCTGTCTGTCTGTATGTCTGTTTGTCTGTGTGTCTATGCGTCTGTGTGTCTGTGTGTGTGTGTGTATGTCTGTCTGTTTATATGTATGTCTGTGTGTGTGTGTCTGTGTGTGTGTGTGTGTCTCTTCCCTTTTTCCGTCTTAAAGGGGAAGTTAAGGCAAAAATTAAAATTTCACCAGTTGTAGTCTTCGGGGTGCTGAGTCGAATGGTGTTGGTCCGAGAAAGCTGAGACGCTCCCTTCCTACTTGAATCCCAATCGAACTAGCGCACTTCCACCGAAACTGGGTGACTGCGCCCTACTAGATGGGGATTTGTATGCAAAATGTCACTAAAAGCGCCATTTCGTTCTTATAAAAGCACGGATGACCGCGATTGGCCCATATGTTGTAGTCTTTTGGACGCTGAGTCGACTGGTTTTGGTCCGAAAAGGCTGCGATGCAGCGTTCCTCCTTTATTCCCAATCGAACATGGTTGAACAAGCGGTCACGTGCTCCTGGGTGCCCACTGCCCAAATCACCTGGTCACCACGCCAGCAGGCGAGAACTTTCACACCAAGGTTCAACTCGAGTTCAACTCGAGTGACAGGACTGCACCCAAAAAAGGTCAAACAGGCTAGTAAGTTGTACCCTGCAGGCACGGTGACCAGGTGACTGGCGTACGCAGGAGCACGTGACCGCTTGTTCAACCATGTTCGATTGGGAATAAAGGAGGAACGCTGCATCGCAGCCTTTTCGGACCAAAACCAATTGACTCAGCGTCCAAAAGACTACAACATATGGGCCAATCGCGGTCATCCGTGCTTTTATAAGAACGAAATGGCGCTTTTAGTGACATTTTGCATACAAATCCCCATCTAGTAGGGCGCAGTCACCCAGTTTCGGTGGAAGTGCGCGAGTTCGATTGGGATTCAAGTAGGAAGGGAGCGTCTCAGCTTCCTCGGACCACGACAATTCGACTCAGCACCCCGAAGACTACAACTGGTGAAATTTTGATTTTTGCCATAACTTCCCCTTTAAGTACTCAATTCCTTTCATCGCATGGTTCACTTGTTAGTGATCAAATGTCATTATCATGTTGTTGTTGTTAACAATCTCATTTGTTCAATGTTTTACAGAGATTTCAGTGACAATCCTATCACTAACCTTCAACCAGACCTGTTCAGTAACCTAACTCAGATCTATTTTCTGTAAGTTTCGCCTGGACCATAGTGGACTTTGCGCGTTGCAAACATGTTGTGATTCCGGCACTGTGTTAGCAATCAGGTTGGTCATAAGAGGTTGACTCTTTCTGCCCCCTCCCCCCACCCCCCCCCCCCCCAACCACTTTCCCAGCTTGGTGCTTTGTTCTGCAGGTGGTGAGTTGGTGGTAACGGACGCATTGATAACGTTACATCACAAACCCCAATTCAATTTGCTTGTTTCATCCTGATATCTTTGACTATGTAAAATATGAAAAACACCCAGTGGTCTTCAGAGTTTGTTTCTTGCTCAATGCAATCATCAGGTGATTTGAACCTCTTTGTAAAAACATGATAGAAAGTGGTGCTTTTGTAGTCACACTACCCCAATATGGTCAGAATTGCTTGGAATTTCATTGGAGAAGCAGAGTTTTCCGGTTTTTATAATCAGAACCTATGAGCGTTGGTCAGGCATCACTCACACTGCTGTACCAGTTATCCTTTTGTTTATTCTGCTCACACAGCGACCTTTCCGGCATGGCCCTCCAGGCTCTTCCAGTTGACCTTTTCACAGACCAGGAGAGCCTCGAAGTTCTGTAAGTTCTTGTTCGGTTGTCAGTATGCACCCAAGGAAAATTGATCCTTACTGAAAGGACACAACAGGTGCCCATCTCCCGTACTTTTCCTTGCACATCCTTTCCCTGTAGCGTTCCGCGTTTCCGTGTGACACCATTGTTCTGTTGGTCTTCTCTCTTGGTAGCTGCTCGTGCACCCATGTTTGCTATAACTACTCAAGCACTTTATCTAGCACTCGCTATCTTACTGTCGGTCTGTCTGTCTGTCTGTCTGTCTGTCTGTCTGCCTGCCTGCCTGCCTGCCTGCCTGCCTGTCTGTCTGTCTGTCTGTCGGTCTGTCTATCGGTCTGTCTGTCTGTCTGTCTCTGTCTGTCTGTCTGTCTGTCTGTCTGTCTGTCTGTCTGTCTGTCTGTCTGTCTGTCTGTCTGTCTGTCTGTCTGTCTGTCTGTCTGCCTGCCTGCCTGCCTGCCTGCCTGCCTGCCTGCCTGCCTGCCTGCCTGCCTGCCTGCCTGCCTGCCTGCCTGCCTGCCTGCCTGCCTGCCTGCCTGTCTGTCTGTCTGTCTGTCTGTCTGTCGGTCTTTCTGTCTGTCTGTCTGTCTGTCTGTCTGTCTGTCTGTCTGTCTGTCTGTCTGTCTGTCTGTCTGTCTGTGTCTGTCTCTGTCTGTCTCTGTCTGTCTCTGTCTGTCTGTCTGTCTGTCTGTCTGTCTGTCTGTCTGTCTGTCTGTCTGTCTGTCTGTCTGTCTGTCTGTCTGTCTGTCTGTCTGTCTGTCTGTCTGTCTGTCTGTCTGTCTGTCTGTCTGTCTGTCTGTCTGTCTGTCTGTCTGTCTGTCTGTCTGTCTGTCTGTCTGTCTGTCTGTCTGTCTGTCTCTCTGTCTCTCTGTCTCTCTGTCTCCATCATCATGTAGTCGTTCGTCTGTCTGTCTCTCCCCTCGTCTTTTTCCCCAATCAATGGCTTCCTCAGCCTATCTCGTTGTTGTCTTGTTGTGAGTGCAGAGAAATGGATCCTACAAAGGATTCAGCACCACTTTAGATTTACTTCCCTGGGTGAAGGCAGACCTAACTGAAGTATCTCAAAAATTGAGACGGTTGTTTTGGCTAAAATTTCATTCATTCCTTTTTTTGTGCACTAGTGGGTAGATGTATTGATAGAAATTGCGGTTTTGTTTTCTTTTTTTCCTATGTCTGCGTGCAGAGAGCTTGATGAAAACCCATCATTGACAGAGCTTCCATTTGGGGTGTTTAGAAACCTTGCACTTCTGACGGATTTGTAAGTTCCCAGTAATGCTGATATGAACCTGAGAAGTTGTATCGGATCATTCCTTTCTAGTTAATCAATAGGACTATGGCTTCCATGCTTGACCCGACTGCTGCATGGCGGATAAGTGCTGCAGATAGTGATCATGCACACCGAGTGGCTCCCATGGCTACTATGGCTAGTATGGCTAGTATGGCTAGTATGGTTAGCATGGCTAGTATGGCTAGTATGGTTAGCATGGCTAGTATGGCTAGTATGGCTAGTATGGCTAGTATGGCTAGTATGGCTAGTATGGCTAGTATGGCTAGTATGGCTAGTATTAGCCAGTGCAGGCTAATTTTTATTTTTCAAGGAAACCCTTCGAAAATGGTACCAATCGATTCAGCATGGCATTTTCATTCCTCCTGCAAAGTTTCAGCTGATTTGGAGTCATGACAAGGACGCTATGGCGATTTGAAGATCGAAAAACTTCACTTTTGTTTGTCAAGAAGAAAGACCATGATCGCACACAAATCATACAACCCGTGTGGCACAATGATTTTTGAACGAAGTTGATCCGGGGACCCCGTGCTTCGCGCATGCACGCATGCATACTGCACAGTACAGAGGCTTTTTTGAACGCAGATATGTAGTTCTTCGTCTTCTTCGAAATGTCTTCCAAATGCGTGGTGCTGGTGTTGTTCTCAGCTTCGTCAAGGCAGAATGCAGCTGCATGTGATGCTCCTGTGGGTTCATGCATGTTCTCTTTTCGCGTCTCGACATTGTAGCGTCCAGACTCAGCTCGACTGGAGAAGATTGAGGAGACTATGCTTTGATCCACATGGAAAATCGATGAAATTTGGTAATTATCGTCGGGCGCTAAAAAGCGCTGGGGAGCATGGGGCTAAAACTTTGTAGCAGTCATCCCTACCATGACAGGCATCGACTGGTATATGTTCCATTCTGTTCCCAACCACTACGGGTCGTCTGCGAAGCTTTCTTCTTCGCCGATTCTCGGACAGATCGTACGTCTTCGCACTGTATCTCTCGTCTCCCTCAACGGATCAAAACACGGTTTTCGCCAGGACGAACACAAACCCCCAGATTTCGCGGCGGCAACATCTTCGAGTAGGGAAAAGCTAGCAGCTAACCAGGAATCACCAAAAAACACGTGTAATACTCAGTGTGATTTGCGACAGCTGTCATTGTGCCGTCGCACCATGCATGTACCATGCACGGGAATGGAACACGGATGAGTCGTTTTATTACGACAGCCTGCACTGGCTACTAGTATGGCTAGTATGGTTAGCATGGCTAGTATGGCTAGTATGGTTAGCATGGCTAGTATGGCTAGTATGGCTAGTATGGCTAGTATGGCTAGTATGGCTAGTATGGCTAGTATGGCTAGTATGGTTAGCATGGCTAGTATGGCTAGTATGGTTAGCATGGCTAGTATGGCTAGTATGGCTAGTATGGCTAGTATGGCTAGTATGGCTAGTATGGCTAGTATGGCTAGTATGGTTAGCATGGCTAGTATGGCTAGTATGGTTAGCATGGCTAGTATGGCTAGTATGGCTAGTATGGCTAGTATGGCTAGTATGGCTAGTATGGCTAGTATGGCTAGTATGGTTAGCATGGCTAGTATGGCTAGTATGGTTAGCATGGCTAGTATGGCTAGTATGGCTAGTATGGCTAGTTGAATGTTAACCTACCTCGGTGATGTGATTTTACCAGCACAACCCCAGTCACAAAGTACAAGTCGGCTGAGCTTAGCCATCAGCAGGCCAGCGTACGATATCGGGGGGGGGGGGGGCGTGGTCGGGAGGGAGAAAATTTCATAACAGCTTGATGCACGCTGCAGCACGACCAGCAAGAGAAAGAGACTGGGTGGATTTGTTCCCACTTTTGATGGCTGTAGCCATCAGTGTGGCCCATATGGTAGTAATGTGAACATGGAAATTTCTTGCGCTGCCAGCTATGCACCCGGCAAGTGGGTGAAATCCGATCCCCGAAAAGGCTCCAATGAAGCCGTACGGGCTTCCTTCTACCTAGTGATGATTCTGATGTTTCATATTTAGTTTCAATAGATTTTTGGTTGGAGGAAAGCAAATCAGCACACGAAGCACAGAAGCCATATATTTTCGACCAGGCCACTAGCGCTATTTTTCAGGTGCTATTTTTGTCAATGCTCTGACCGCCAAAAGTGCCGGTTATAAGGACTTGCTTGCTACCTTGTTAATCACCATTGTATTCGACTTGAAGAGTAATGGTACGAAAGCACTAGTCGAAATTATATGGCTTCTGTGCTTCGTGTGCTGATATTTAGTTTCGTTTGCAAGCACCAAACAGGACTCCCCGTACGCATTACGCATCACACAGGGCTCTGTTTGTATCGTGAACTGCAATAGTGAAATGCTTGGATAGTGCCGAACCGAGTGTAACATTGGGTTTGCCTGCAGCCGGCCTGACAGGGTTTGTTCCCACAACCAATTCTATTTCACACAGCTACTAGCACACTTAGCGTGACTGACCGATGGCTTGTCCATCAACTTTTGAAAGCCTTATCAATGTCTCTGCTGCGCATGCAGGTATCCTATTTCTGTGTGTTATGTTAACTTCTTATTGTGCTGTTGTGATGTGGTTTTACCAGGGATTTGGCCTTTACTGGGTTGACAACTGTGCCACCATTCGTGTTCGCCAACCTCACAAATCTAGATGACTTGTAAGCAGTGTGAATTGATGTGCTCAGTGATAACAATTTCGGGAATTGGCAGTAACTCTGTATGTCGGCCAACGATACATATACATTATACCTTATTATTTTCGGGTACATCTGCATGTGCAAGATATTGAGCCTTACAGTTTTGTGGAATTAAAAGCTTTGCAAGGCTTTTTGAGCTGAAATGGACCATAGTTGTTGCGCTGCTGGCTACACCAGAAGTGCCCTATTTGTGAGTTTGATTTGTTTGCTTGCATTTCCACTCCATCAGATAGAAATAATGTGTACGCACTCATACCACGACACCAGAGGAACAATTATGTACTTCCTCCGGAAACAAGAACTTCGTGACCTTTTCACATGACTTTTCAAGGAGTTACTGTGCTCAACAAAAGTGTTCTAATGCCTAGTATTGGAAGAGAAACACTTCAACACACTCAATGGACATGTGTAGAATATCTACAAGGTTGACTGATGGGAATAGAGTCTCAGTCTGACTCGCCATCGCTCGATTCATCACAGCTGGAACCAACCAAAGTGGCAGGTCGATCGACGCGTTCTCGCATGTCACGGAGCAGCTTCTCCGTGTCCCTGATCACCTTCGCTGTTACTAGTACGTGATTCACACCATTTCCTTCCCTAGTACTCTGGTATCTTCTTGGATCTCGAGACTGCCCCGGAACGACGCGTACAGGCAAAGCCTAACATTTCGCATTTCCCCCGTGTTGTAGTCGTCCCATCACGTCACGACTGCTGCGAGGAGATCTCGCCTGTTCTCCTATGCAACCAAGGAGACATCGGAGTAGAGGCTGCTGAAAAAGGCAAGCTCTTCGAGTGAACGACGACTCGACTTTGCACTTTTTAGCTTTGCTGCGCGAGTGTCACATCTTTGCGTGGAGTTTTGACATCTTGCCGACCTGTTCGCACTTTGGCTGATGTTTTTGTGGATGACGCAGATTTCGCTAGCCGCTATACTCTTCCTGCTCCGCAGTGCCATTGTCCTGTTCTTTCTCATTCTGAACCAAAAACTAGCAACGACGACCAGTGAGCGCAGTGATTTTGTTGGCAATGTGCCTGGTAGACAAAAATTTAAAGCATCGTCGCTTCGCTTGGTTTTTACAGCACGACACCTTTGCCTTGCGATGAGTGTCCGCTTTCCAGAATGGGAATCATGCCTTCTTACGGTTCGGAAATGTCATCTGTTAGTGTTTCAGGCCGACAGAGCCACACAGAGAGCGACAGAACAGCAGCGAAAATTAGTGAACAAAAGTCACGAAGTTTTTATTTCCGGAGGAAGTAGGGATTTCCACTCCACATATTTTTTCTCCTCTGACCGCTGAATGATCATTTGGTGTAATGTAATGGTTTGCGTGACAGGGACTTGAATAACTGCAACATTGGCAGTCTACCGGCTTCAGCACTTGCTGGTCTGTCCAGTTTAGATGAACTGTAAGTGTATGCCACTCTGGATATTGCTTTGAACAGCGTGGACATTGTTGATGGTGCGTTGTGTACAAAGAATGCACCACTGAAGTTGCTGATCCGCGGTCATCTCCATGAGTGGCGTATTTTTAAAATCGTATTTCTAATGCTCCCGGAAGTTGTATGCACAGCATGTTGATTTTAATTCCGGAACTAGTTGGTGAACGCAGAAGTTATTAAGGTACATGTGCTGTGTCATAGTGTATGGAGAGAAGCCTCTGTGTGTCATGACTGTCAAGACACTTGGGAATATTGATACAGTGTACTGTACTGTTGCCCCGTAGGCGACGTTGGCGACAAGCAACACCCGTCGTATGGAACATACTTTGTATCACTGCTACCCTTTCTGTAGTCTAGGCTCTGTGTTATGTATGGCTAACACTTCCGCTATTGATGTATTGACATTCAGTCACGGTGACTGGAGATGCGGTTGCACACTACTTGGCTCCAGTTACAACTGCCGGTACATGCACTGTCTGACCTTTTCATGCATTCGTATGCAGCTGTCACCTCACACCGGCACCCGCTTTGTCATCTGTGTATCATGTTGCCGCTATACGCTAGGCCTTGTAGTCTGTGATCCGTAGTCGTAGATCTGTGCTCTGACATTGGCCGCAGTTGCCTGGTCCAATCCGGGCACGAGCCGCGGTCTGCACGCACATGTATGGGTTTGTATTCCTTTGTGTCTAGCTTTATGTTCCTGCTTTGGTGGTGGCGCTGGTTGGGTCTTGTTTTTAGTTTTGGTTACATGTTTGGCATGAGATGAAATGAAAGAGTAATACAATCTTCTTGTACGGTAATGTTTGTGGAATGGTGAATCAAGAGGAGAGGTACAA